GAGCCTCATGGTAAGAAATGCTGTACCTCTTTATCCTCCACCCACTTAGGACAAGACCTATAGTAAGAGGGGTGGGAACCATTACAATTAACAAGGTGAGGGTCCAGTTTGCACTCGTAGGCATTGTGGATATTGCCACCACAACGAGCACACGTCACAGAACCATGACAAGATGCCTTCGAATGACTGAACCACTGACACTGGAAACATCAGAGATTGTTGAGAATATATAACCGTATCTTACAGTTCAGATAACATGCCTGGACAGCAGCAGGTAGATGTGGCAATGTAAACGTCAAAATAAGAATATTGGTAGGCAGCATAATTCCTTCTTTGGGAGTGGAGATACGATGCACTGCAGAAACTCCTTGGCTGGAGAAACCAGCGAGGATCTCCGACTTGGACTTCAAATCCCTCTCAACAATAACTTTTTGTGTAGCATGGGAAGTAACCTTAATGGGTATATCCCCAATGACCTTTGAATTCAAGAGGAGTTTGCTGTGTTTTGGTGTAGATGTTTCCACCAAGATGTCCCCAGAACATAGCTTCTTGACTGACCTTAGAGAGCCAGCAAACCTCTCTAATCCCTTCTGAATAAAAAAGGGAGACATTTGTTCTAAAGGTTTTTCTGATAAGGAATGCAAAATCAAAAAATGAGGTACAGGAGCAAGATGAGTTAAAGATTGATGATCAGAGTCTTCAAGGTGTGGTCATTTACCAATAAGCTGAGTTTTTACTGTTTTATTTTATTCTTGGAGGATTTGGGGGATCCATAATATAAGGAGAAAGATTCAGTGCCCATTGACCCCTATGAGGAGATGCACTACAATACCAAACAAGGAAACTGCAGCAAAGACAGAGTTTCGTGAGCACTATATCCAAACACTAGCATCAGACATAATGTCCACAACACCCATTGAGAATGCCCAACACTGGTACTCAGTTGACTCTAGCCCAACAGGACCAGCCAAGGCTACCTGTCTACAAAAATTCAAGACCAAAATGGTGTGTTGCAGTGCCCTAGACACCATTCAACCACCAGGATCCTCCCCTCCCCTTTACTGGTTGCCACACAAGGCAAACATGTGGGTGGATGTTCAAATCTCAGAGGAGGTAAACTGAAAATACAGAACCTTCCCTGGGAAGTCCCCTCACCACATACAGGAAACCATCTCAAGGGGGTGGTCCATGAGAGCCAACAGAAGTGCTTTCTTACAGTTCCAGAAAACTAATGGAGCCCTAATAATGCCTGGCCACTTCCTTAAGAAAGAACAGAAGACAGCTTGCACCAAAATCAGTGGATACTTTGTTTTGGGGAATGACAGCAGTCTAGACTTAAGTAGAGAGGTAGATCTTTAACTCTACCTAGATGTTGGTTAACAAATGAAGGTAGTCCTTTCTAACCTCAATTCTGACATTTGCATACTCCGGTTGGATGTGCTGCAAAAATGCGTGAACTGATATTCTGTGGGAGATTTATCTGATGCTGACCATGTCAAGCCCAAAAACAATGTACTGCATGAGTGTATTTAGTAGAGAGAATAATAGTATCTCCTTATACACAAGAATTGTTCCATGATTTGCTACAGATAAAGTTTAGTGTGTCTGTGTCATGTAATGTAGTAATAGAGCAGTATTAGGTAAGGTAGTTATCTGTCTGAGGAAGGATGGAGTTTATTGTTGTTTAGTAATTATGAGCAGTCAGTCATCCAGCTTTATGCTGAAAAGGACACTTGTGTGGTAAGAAAAAATGGAAATAACCAAGACTAGCTTTGGTACAAGGGTTTTATCCTTTGTACCATGTACGAAAGTATGTGACAGCCAACACACATGAGGTCGTTGGTTCAGTATTGTCCAAACAGTTTAAGCTGTGCACAGTAAAACCAAGTTAGTGACTTTTTGATTGAATATCCAAATGTATTTGTAGGACCAGATGCCTGATTGAATCTAACAACTATGACTCACCATCATATAGAAACAGGCAATGTATGTGGTCACCACTCTTGAGATGCTAATGGAGCTTACACTGAAGGCACCACATTGTGCAACAGGATAAGCCTCATCCAACATCCAAAGAAGAAAGTAGCATTGATGCATGTAACCAGTGGCACTTAAATGTGTAGGAAGATGTCCAGTGTCATAGTTAACAACTGCCAAGCCATGGTTCTTAGACTGTGCTGCAGCTTAATGGTCTCCAAAGCTCTAAAGTAAGTGAATCTCTAGACTTTACATAACAAAAACAACAGTCTTTTTCTGGACAGCCATCATGTTCACAACATGTAGACGTAAGGAAAATGTCATCAAATTAATTTTGCCAGATTAGGAAAATTCTTGTCAGGAATTAAGAAATATTTCACAAATTGCAAAATTGGCAAACATCAGCACTAGCCTTTGATAGGAGAAAGATAGATGTGTGGTCTACAACAGAGCATTAGGAGAAAGATAGACATTAGATCTCCTAGCAGAGCATTATAAGAAGGATAAACATTAGATCTCCTAGCAGAGCATCGATAGTCACTGGCCAACTATTTGAAATGTGAATGACCTACAAGATGGATAAAAAGTAAAGCCAGTTCAAGTTGTTTCACAGAAAATTCTAAAAAACATTAAAATTAAACAGAAATAAAATTATGTAAAAATAAGTAAAATTACAATGAATTTACACACTAGAGAGCAGAAACAAAAACTCAGCTTCACACAACATGTTAAATTGTTCAGCTTTCTAGCTAATCTTTTCCCAGTAGGTAAGAGGTATGTTTTTCTCTGATAGATTTATAAATTTTTGTTTTCAAGCCAAAGAAATTGTATTGAAACAAGGTCATTGTTTTCTATTTTTCCAAGATCTCTAACTTGTTATAAAAACAAGTTAACTGCAAATGTTTTATTTACTACATTCCACTTAATTTATCCATTGCAGCTCAGAATCAAAGGTGTGTAAAAAATAGCTCTATCTTTTGTTACCCTCCTCTACAGTTAACTTGTTTTTGTAACAGTATTTTAGGCCTGTTGGTTTCAAATATATGCTGACTTTTGGCATTCAAACTGTTAAGTCTTTTAACTTGTAGATCAAGACCAAGGATATTTCATGATAATTTTTCTTTTAAACATTGCTAAATACTTAATTATCTTGAAGACTACACTCAACTGTGTGAGTTTTTTTCTTTCATTAACAAAGTTACGTTTTTATATAGTGGTTAAGAACATGTATTAAAATTAGATGAATTTTTTTACTTTTCGATACTTTATTAAGGATTCTTAGCTTTTTTTCTTTTTTTTTTTTTGCAAGATGTGATATATACAGTCTTTGATGAGGCTTGTTATGTGGGCTCTTATCTTTCAAGTGGAAGTCATATAATTGGATTTAGTTCCCTATGATCTATGTTTTTCCATGTCTTATTGTCACACTTTCATAAAAAGTAAACCACTTTTGGGTATTTTAATTGGATTTCGAAAAATGTATTGATTTTGCATATTGATATATCAGTGGATGCATCTTTAAACTTAATATCAAGCCCGAAATGTGGGGACTATTACACAACACATTTAATAATGTTTGAGGATTACATCATATACAGCACAAGTTAGGGTCTTTAGGTTTAAAAAGTTTTTCAGAACAAATATCAGGTACAAACTGCCTTTTGTAAATTAAATGCAAGTTATACTGTGTGATAACCATGAAGTCTACTATGCTTTCAAGTGAAATATTATCTTATATTATTAACTCATGAACACATGGAATTTAATAAAAACTCGTGCTTTTTTTATATGCCAACACGTAATCAAAAGACATATGATTATTTTATCCAGTCTCAGAATTTTAATGAGCGTCGTAACAACATAGCTGAAAGAAACCTCATTAGATAAAAAAAATTACCTTATAAAACTGCAGGTTTCATTCATATTAAAGCTGTTTACATTTACTTACAGTACCTATAACTACTCCTTGCTTTATTATTTATAGTTTTATGCATTTGTTCATACATACAGTATAAACAAAGAGTTGTTGTATACTTCTGAATTCTGAAGTTAGAATCAATGTATTTTTGAAACATCAACTGGTGTGTCATAGTCATTAAATAGCTGTGGAAGTCTAAGAAGAAAGTGAAAGATTTTGCTATATATATATATAAAAAGGTGACAACCTTCTGCCAGTTTTTAACTAGTTTGTTAACTACTAATTTTGTCCAAATGTAAAGAGAGTATCTTGAAAATCAATAAACTGTTGTTGATAACTATTGATGTGATGATATAACAGTCTGATGTAGCATATTAGAATGATGAAAACATATAGAGAAATGGCTATTCATGTGTCTGAAGATTTATAGGGAAATTTATGTGTTTGCTTAATGCCATTATTAGTATATATCCAGTCATCAAAAAACTGCCTTTATTGAAAGTTAAATTCATACACTGAGTACAAATTCAGAGTATCCATCCTTTGAAACTTACTGAGTCAACTCATCCAGTATTTAAATATGCCAATTTTAGAATTTAACCAACTTATTATAATGAAGCAAAATAGAGAAACATATTTATACATACATAAAACATAAATGAACATTAACACACAAATCTGCATTTAAGAAAATTTTTTGATAAGCATTCATGCACAGCTTTATTCACAACAAATTAGTGTTCCTTTATTTATTTATTAAAAAGAAAAGAAGCTGTTTGTCAATGACTGTTATATTAGTTATTATATTGACACTATCCATTAAAAAAGGCCTACACTTATGTTGTGTGTCTAATCTTACGAAAAAATTGGCTAGGGTTTTAAGTAAAAAATACTATTTTAACAGGAGGTATTATGGATTAAGGCCTTTTGGTTTATTTGTCTTTTTTTTTTTTTTTCAAGTAATACTTTTTACTACCTACTCACCATCAGCAAAATCTTTTTAGCACCTGTACATCTGTTTTAATGGTTTTGTTAGTTTATTAACGTATGTGATAATTTTCAGAAAATAGGATATAGTAGTTGTATTTTAATTTAAACATCTTAGAATTTTCTTGATCGTGCTGAAGAAGACAAGAAAAGATATTGTGCAGAACTTAAAGAATACCAGCAATCAGAAGCTTACCAAACTTATTTGAAGCAAAAGAAGCTCAAAAACGTTTTCTGTAAGTACTTTATCTGTGAATGGTCTAATTTGACCCATAAGTAGCTGACTGTTAATAGTGTGCTTGATTTAAAAAACATTATTTAAAACCTTTTAAAAATTTGTACCATATCAAGAAGTAAAATCAGTTTGTCTTTGTTTTTGAAGTTTGTGAGAGAAAGAACCAAATATACAAATAAATCTGATCTTTTAATAAGTGTATGGGATTTTATCTGTGAATCTAACTTGTTTTATTTAGTGGTTCTTGGTATTAGCCTTATATATAGTTGTACTATATCCACTGAACTTACATATAAGGTTTCACATGTAAAATCTAAATGTTCTATAGTTCAAGATTTCTAAGGCAGATTCAGGTTAAATTGATCTACTTAATGAGATTTGTCTGTGACTTTTGGGATTTTAGTGTTCTTCTTAAGTTTATTTGTCTAGCACTAAAATATTCAAAATAAATTATTAACAAGAATTCTTCTGAGTACAGTTGCCAGAACATTACTGCATAAGTTAGGTATGATCAAGCTATTGTTTAAATCTTTTGTCCAATAATTTTTGATGATATTGACATCCCTTTGAATCTTTAAGTATTCAGCAATTTGAATTACCCACTAAAGAGTTTTACAAAAATGTACCAAGGTAGTTCATAGCAATGTGAATATAATTGTATGTTGTCAAAAAAACATAACAGTAAATAATTCTTTACAATTTGTTTAGTTCTTTTAGCCTTTGTACCATATTCATACTTGTTCTTCCTCTAGACTGTAATGGAAATAGAAATAAAAGTTCATTTGAGCAGGAGAACAGCTCATCATTTATCATTCAAGATATAGAGGTTAGTTTCAGTTTTGTTTTTGTTTCAATTATAAAACAAGTATGTTGAAGAAAATATGATGATAATCAGCTTAAGTATGAGTGTCATTCAGAACCTTCAATGGCTCATATCAGAATTGAGATGAAGATTTGCACAAATGGTGTGAAACTTATAATAGATCACTTAAGACATATTACATTGATCTAAGATAGTAATTGCCAGCTTCTGTAGATGTATTTATTAATCAAAGTAGATTTTCTATGTTAATGACTTCTAAAATAGTTTTAAAAAAATCCTATACATTTATCAATTAATGCAATGTCAAATGATATATATCAGCTTCTGTGTTGATAAATGGAAGGATATAAATCATCAAAGTTTATTATGGTAGATTGTAAGACAGGCTGGGCAGATAAAATATTAGTTTGTATTGCCAGTGTATAAAATTATTTTAAAATTATTTCTTGAAACTACAGAAAATTTTAAATTTGAATAAAAATTCAATTGAAAAATTGCCACAGAATCTAAAATAAACATTTCTGATACAATACCTAATCTACTCTCACATCTATCTTTCCTGATTCAGTGCTCTATATGAACATTTTTTGCTCAATATTAGCCTTGAGGCTTCCACTTAATTTAATGTGTTTCCATGTGATATTGCTGTGTTGTTGCATACAAGTGAGCATGTGGCAACTCTCCATCAATAGGAGTGTGACACTGCCTCCTAATGCAGCTGTCTTCCTCTATACTTACTGCTCAATCATTACTTTTGGATTTGGCACATGTGTGATAAGATGTGACCTTTTTTGCTCATCATTGTGTGTGTTGAAGTATCTAAAAAACCAACTGTTGTAGGAATATTTTTGTTTCAATTTTCAGACAATTCTGCTTCTGCAGACTTTGTGGCTCTTATTTTCCACAACGTCAATTACACAGAGACAGTCATTTTCATGCTTTCTAGTATTCAACATTTGGACGTTTTTCACTCTGGATAAACTACCACAATGCACCAGGTGCTTCTTTGTCTGCCAGGGGACGTAATTGCTTTTGTGCAGCGGGTAGTGGAGTCTTGCATGCAGCCTGTTCCTTTCTCAGGCCTTGACATGGACTTCTCTCCTCCTATAATTAGCATCCATGAGGACATGGATTGTAGGCAGTCTTTCCTGCTGCATAAATTTGCAAACAACTTTTCCAGTGCAGATGTAGATGGGCCTCGACAATCTGCATTCACCCATGACTTTTCTTATTAGGTATGTTACCTTTTTTCACTCTCTCTTATTTATTATTATTCTTTACTTTACTTTTGCAGAATGATTGAGATGAGGAGTTAGTATTACTAATGGTATAATTAATCAGACTGTTATTCTCATCTGTATTATGTGTATTACTATTTTCACAACTTTTCAACCAGAATGTTTCTTCAGAAAATTGTTTTCCTCCTCCTCCTTATATCTGAGTCTGTGCTGAAATATGTTTTTTTCTCAACTTCATTCTGGTGCCAGTATGCCTCATCTTTCTCAACTGGTTGCACATATGCCTTGGCTTACAATCAAGCTGAAGCCCTTTTCTTTGACTCCTAAACTCAGGAGTCTCTTCTTCAGGCTTGGGGTTCTGATTCATTGTCTTCTGTTAGTCTTTTTAAAGCTCATTTTTCTCACCTTTGCCTTACCCTCACTACCCTTTTACATTATCTATGCTTCATCCATCTCCATTTGAAAACAATTCAATCCATTGTTCCTTGGAGGGGTTTTCAGCAGACAATCATTCCCTTCCTTTTTTTTACATTGGCACTTTCTTCTTCCTCGGCCTTGACCCTTCTCATTTGGTTACTCTATTTGCTGGGATCTGTTGGGAAGGGATGCCCTTCTTGCCCAAGTACATTTACCTCCCTCTTATGTCAGGGACCTTCATTTGGATCCTTTCTTCCACCTATGGATTTTTAGCAGGAAACCTGATTCTTTGTGGTCATGAGTTGAGGCTAGTGCCAACATTTTTCCTTGACTACCCTTGTGTCCCATCATTCCCAAGCTCCTTCTCTTCCAGTTATAGCCTCTTATCCTCCTGACTTTTTTTGCTTCCTGTTATTTCATACCATTCATCTTTTCCCATCTGTTCTGCCAACAGTCTCATTGCTGACTATCTTCTGAGTTCAGGAACAGTGTAGACCTACTTGGCTTGATTTGTGGATCTATGGATTCCTTTTCCAGGCAACCACTGGGGGGCTACAGATTTTATCCATTGGCTTTACCCTTCATTTTTGCTCCCCTCCCTTTTTGTCTTCTGTTTCCATTTCTTACCCTCCTCCAGGGAATCCTGTCTTCTACCAGCATCTCTTTGAAATGATGTCAGACTTTTTAGCCAAAGTTGCTATCAAAAGGGTTTCTGACCCTTCTCTGGGATTTTATTCCCATCTGTTGTTCCCCTGTACACTAGGGATTGGTGTCTGGTCATCCTTCTGTAGTGTCTCCATTAGTTTCTCGACCTTCCTCAGTTTACTGTGATGAGTTTTCTCACCCTCTGATGGTCCTTTTCTCTGGGGCTTTGGATGATCAAGGTTGAAATCTCTGATGCTTACCTTCACATTCCCATTTCCCCAGCATCCAGACTTTATCTTCAGTGTGTACTTCATGGACAAATGTATCAGTTCTGAACTCTTCCTTTTGTCCTGGTGTCAGCCTCATACATTTTCTTTTGCCACATAATACATACCTTTAATTGTCACATTCATGGCTTGGGATTGAGATTCCACCATTATATGGATGACTGGCTTTTAGTTCCATCCCAACAAGATTCCTATGACTATACTCTTCTCCTTCTTCAGAATGTTGCTTATCTAGGTCAGCTAGTCGAGCTGGCTAAGTCTCATCTCACACCAATCCAGTATCTGCTTCATTTGAGTGTGTTTTTCTCTTCCCATCTCAGTAGAGCACAGCCTTCTCCACTGCATTTGCAGATCATAGAGAGTTTGGCTTCCACAGTTCTATCCTCTCCTTGTCTTCCCGTGTGAGAGGTTTTCTGTATATTGGGGACTTTGGCTTCCTTGAAACCCCTTTTCCTTTTGAGTTGTGCTCGTGTATTTTCTTGTGGACTCTACAAGATCATCAGAACTTCTCTTGGGATTGCTTTTCTGGAGTGGTCCCTCAATCCTCATGTTTTTTAGATGGCTTTGTTCTCCTCTGAGTATTTCTCACATCAATGCCTTTGTCACTTACAGCAATGGTAAACTTCCCCCATTCTTTTATATCTCTTCCATCCATTCTCGTCTTTATTACAGTTTTGGTCCTAGTAATATTCTCTGTCCTGTTTATGGAATCTGTTGTTATTTGGATCACACCTCTTCCTTTTGTGGTTCCTGATCCCATCTCTTCCTTCTGTGGAATCCTTCATCCACTCGCAATCTTTCTTCTGTTACTCTCACTGGATGGGTCTGACAGCTGATCTGTTTAATGTATTTGTCATTGGTTTGAGAAGCAAGGTGACATTTCCAGGTGTTCTCCTATCTAATTTGTCACATAACTCACTCATTAGCTGCTCACTTTCATTATCTGTTGGGGAAGAGTGTTCGGGCTGGCATGTGGACGACTCCTCACACCTTTGCCACACACTATCTCCATCATCTGGCTGTTTCTTCCTCATTGGGCTGTGGACTGCCTCTGGTCACCATTTTCCACCCATCATACTGTCTCTGACTGGGTAAGTCTTTTACACCCTTTTTACAAAACTCTCACGGAATCCCACTCAATGGCAAGTATTGCTTACAAGGGTACACTTAACCAGTGTAGCGCACAATATAGCCTTCACCCATGAGTTAGGGTGTTCCATAAAACCTTTCAAGGTATCCCTATGGTGCTTATCTTCCTAAACAAGATCCAGTTCAGACCATACCCACTCATGGACTAGCATGAGTAAAACAGACAGGGAATTCCTACCCATCCTCCTTGCTAAGTTTATAACCTAGTACTGGCTTGCATTTAAAAATAAGGTATAAAGTGAGACATCTGCACTAAGAGGCAGTGTCACACTCCTATTGGTGGAGTTTGTCGCATGTTCAGTTGCATGAAACAATGAAGCAGCATCACATGGAAACATGTGAGATTAGGTGAGAGCCTCAAGGCTAGTAGTGAACTAAAAAAAAAACTAAAAATGTTAGGGAGGTGAGTAGCTATAAGAAATACATCTTCAGTGTTGGAAAATGGTAACATCCTTCAGTATAATGTATTCCGTTAATTTATAGTGCAGATCAGATTGCACATGCTCATATCTTGTCTTGCTATGGCATGGCATTATTGTAATGTACAATAGTATTAATAGGTTTTATTTAAGTTTGTTGAATATACCAATAGAAAAGATTTAAGCAAATAGTTCAAGTGGCAGAAAATTTGAGAATCTTAAAATCCTTGATGGGAAACCTGTTTTTAATGAACAATGGCTGTGCAAAGTAAGAAGTTAGAACAGACAGAGAACAAATACAAAGCCCATTCCAGTGTTTGTGAGAAATTATATGATGTTGTTAACATGAATGAATTGGTGCTACTTAGCCGTGTGAAAGGAAAAACTGATAAGATCTGAATGTGACACAAAATATGAGTGTAAAAGATTTTTTCACAGCTGAAGGCAACAAAACTCATGGTACTACAGTGGTAACTTTGACAAATATACTGAAGTAACTGACTTACTGCTTTATAATATGAAAAAAAGAAAGCTCTAGAGGTTTCATAAATTAATGATATGTGTTTATTTTTGTTATTTCTACTTTATTTACATTGTACTTTCTTGTGTTTATCTTGCACATGGAAATTTTCCATTTTCATTTGTGAAAATTCGTAAAAGAAATCATGAAAACATTTTGTGAACCCTGGTTATATTATGCCCCAGCAAACACAGTTACATAATAAATTTCTATTATTAATGTAGTGATTTGGTAGTGATTACATAGTTTACTTACGTAAAAGTGTGGACTACCAGAGATGTTGTTACTACATAGTAATATTGTGGAATGGAACTACCAATATACAACC